ATCTTTTTTATAGAGTGATTTGAGTTCTTCAGGATATATTCCCAGTAGGGGGATTGCAGGGTCATATGGGAGGTTGGTATTTAGAGCTTTTAGGAATCGCCACACTGCTTTCCACAGAGGTGTTGATAACTCTTTAAACTGTTCATCATTCAGCACTTATTTCTCTGTTCCAAGTTGCCAGAATCAGTTATTCTTCTTCCTGTCCAACATCTCTAGGTGTAACTGGTTACACCTGTTATATTTACCTGTCAATCTTTTCCCTCACATCTGAACATCAATGGAAAGCCTTAGGAGAAAACTAAAATAAACTAGAGAGCACAAGGAATTTCTTGAGGGTCTTTGTCTGATTTTGTGAGTGTAACTATATTAAGTCCTTATTTGCTACAGTTGTTTTGGGTTTCACTGAATCCCTTTAGTAGTTATCGTTGCTATGGTGCCATTGACCTGCCTTTTATTCTTTTTACTTTTATTATTATTATTATTTTTGAGTTGGAGTCTCACTCTGCCCCCCAGACTGGAGTCCAGTGGCACCACGATCAAGCTACCACAGCCTTGACCTGCTGAGTTCAGGCAATCCTCCTGCCTTGGTCTTCTAAGTAACTGGAACTACAAGCGTGTGACACCATGCCCAGCTGATTATTTATTGTAGAGATGAGGTCTCACCAAGTTGCCCAGGCTGATCTCAAACCCCTGGGCTCAGACAGTCCTCTCGCTTCGACCTCCCAGAGTGTTGAGGTTATAGGCGTGAGCCACTGTGCCCGGCTACCTTTTATTCTTTATTCTTGGAGCGACAGCTTTCTTCCTCATTATTTTGTTGCCCAGAGCATATAGAACCACTTCTGGAGTATTTCTCAAATCCACTTATTTTATTTATTTATTTATTTATTTATTTATTTGAGTTGAAGTCTCACTCCATCACCCAGACAGGAGTGCAGTGGCACACTCACGGCCACCCCAGCATCAACCTGCTGGGCTCCGGCAAACCTTCTGCCCCAGCCTTCCAAGTAGCCAGAACTACAGGTCCGCACTACCACACCTGGCTAATTTTTTATTTATTGTAGAGATGAGGTCTTGCCAAGTTGCCCAGGCTGGTCTCAAACTTGTGGGCTTAGTCAATCCACTTGCGTCAGCCTCCCAAAGTGCTGGGATTGCCCGCTGAGCCTCCAAGCCCGGCACTATTTTATTTTTAAAACATTTTTGCCACCGTGTATTGTCTTCCTAGTCTTTTAACATCTCTTTGCAGCTAACTCTTACCTATCTTCAGTCAGTTTTTCTACCCAGCCACCAGAGTGTTCATGTAAAATTTAAATCTGACTGTGTAATTTCCCTGCTGAAAACCTTCACAGGCGTTTAGGATGAACCAGATGCTCAGCATGGCAACGGAGGTCCTGTGCGGCTGGACCTCTGTCTGCCTATCCCGCTTTGCACTGGGCCACTCTCCACCTGGCTTCTAGGATCAGCGAGGGGGCTGATCTTGGCTCCTCCAGTGTTTATTCCTTCTCCTATGAGACTTCTCAGCTTAAGGGATGACGCTGAATTTAAAACAAACAGAATTAAAACTCCCTTTTTTTTGGAGACTATTTTTTAAGGAGCAGTTTTAGTTCACAACAACTTAAGAGGAAGTTACAGAAATTTTTCCATATTCCCCCTCCTCCCACAGATGCATAGCTTCCTTCATTATCAATACCCCCACCGAAGTGATCTATAGGTTAAAACTGATGAACCTGCCTTGACACATCATGTCCATTCAGCATTCATAGTTACATTTGGGCCACTCTTTGGGTTGTGTACCCTATGGGTTTAGACAAATGTGAAATGACTTGTATCTATCAATATAGAATCATATGGGATATTTTAACTCCCCTAAAAATCCTCTGTGCTCTGCTTGTTCATCCCTTTCTCTCCAATTCCTCGTAACTACCAAGGTTTTATTGTTTTTTTCCAGAATGTCATATAGTTTGGAATCATACAGTATGTAGACTTTTCAGACTGACTCCTTTCACTGAGTAGTATACATTTAAGCTTCCTCCATGTCTTTTCATGGTTTGACAGCTACTTTCTTTTCAGCACTGAATGATAATCCATTGTCAGAGTAAACTAAAATGTGCTAATTCATTTACCTACTGAAGGAAATCTTGGTTGCTTCCAAATTTTGGCAATTATGAATAGAACTGCTATAAACATACGGGTATTTGTGGGAACATAAGTTTTCAACTCCTTTGTATATGTACCAGTGAAAGTGATTGTGAAGTATTTTTACTTTGTTAAGAAACCACCAAAGTGGATGTAACATTTTTCATTCCCACCAGCAATGAATAAGAGTTCCTGTTACCTCACATCCTTATCAACATTTGGTGTTATGGGTGTTTTGGATTTTGGTGATCCAAATAGATGTGTTGTGTGTCTCTTGTCTGTGCATCTTCCTGATGACATACGATGGGGGGACCATCTTTTCTTATGCTTATTTGCCATCTCTATATCTACATGTATTTACTATATGACCCACTTTTGGGTATATACCCAAAAGAATCAAAAGCAGGGACTCGGACAGCTATTTGTATATCCATGTTCATAGCAGCATTATTCTCAATAGCCCAAAGATGGACAAAACCCTGTGTCTACAGATGTACAAATGGATAAACGAAATGTGGTATAAACACATGATGGAATGTTAGTTTTAAGAAGGAAGAAATTCTGGTTGGGTGTGGTGACTCATATCTATAATCCCAGTACTTTGGGAGGCCAAGGTGGGAAGATTGCTAGAGCCCAGGAGTTTGAGACCAGCCTAGGCAGCATAGCAAGTCCTCATCTCTACAAAAAAAATTAAAAAATTAGCTGGGTATGGTTGTGCACATCTGTAGTCCCAGCTACTCAGGAGGCTGAGGCAAAAGGATTGCCTGAGCCCAGGAAGTTGAGGCTGCAGTGAACCGTGATCATGCCACTGCACTCCAGCCTGGGCCACACATGCTCCAACATGTGGATGAACCTTGAATATATTATATTAAGTGAAAGAAGACAGTCACAAAAAGACAAGTAGTACATTATTTCAGTTACATGAGAGACCTAAAGTAGTCAAATTCATAGAGACAAAATTGAATGGTGGTTGCCAGGGGCTGGGAAGTAGGACAGTGGAGATTTGTTATTTAATGGGTACAGAGCTTCTGTGAATGTATATAATGCCACTGAGCTCTATACTTAAAAATGGTTAAGATGATAAATTTTAGGTTAGATGTATTTTATAATAGTTAAAAAAAATCTAATCACAATAAAATCTCTGGAAAGAAAAAGGAATGTTTTGTTTTAGCAGCCAAGGGGTAACCTAATCTGTGACTGGTATCTTTCAGACCTGGCGTTTCCTTAACCCTGCAGGCGTTTTCTGAAGAGGAAAGGAAGCAGTGGTTGGAAGCTTTGGGTGGAAAAGAAGCGGTAAGAATCACCAGTGGTTGAGTTTTATTTCAAACCTTGTAGAGTTGGCTTGCATTTATTTCCATGTTACTTTTGTTTTATAGTATGTGGAAAACGTTTATTGCTGAAACAGGTCTTACGATTCATCTTGGAAGCATGAAACATCTAGTCATTTAGCTTGGGCCTACAGCAGCACACGGGAGACAGGGGTATCATTCGTTTTTATTTCTGACTTTTCTTGTCTTTGCCACTCTGGTGTGCTTTGCTTGAGGAAGTCATCTATGTTCTCAGTGTCGTCTTTCCTACTTGACAGGATCTTGGGTGAGGAACACAGTAAATGCTTGGCATGCATTTTGGTCTCAGTGGAGATGGACCGGTCAATATGAGGCAGTGCAGGCAATATTAGAAGTGACTGTTGTTATTTGGCTTTATTTAACAATTCATGTTTTTTGTCTAATGGCTGACACTGTGCAGTATTGTGTTGCCTAGTGAATGGGCCTCTGTATTCAGATGACCTTGGGGAATGAATGATAGGTAGTGGTACAGATCCAAAGACCCCAGGATTTGGTCTGTTGGTCACTTTATTCAAGCACTATTTTCATTTCGGTGGACTAGTGGCCTTCGGGAGTTGAGAATTTGGCAGGTCATGTATTGAGGATTTAGTAAGGATGATTATAGAAAGTGCCAAAGAATCCATTTAAATAAACTCAAAGTATTATAACTCTAAATAAACTGTCAGCACAGGTACCAGGTGGGCCTAATCTGGAAAGCATTTGCCAATTCAGCAAGATTTAGAACAAAAGGGAAGAGCATGATTTGAAAATGGAAGAGAAGAGTCATGTCGAATAAAAAGGTTTCAGAGTAGACCCCATGAAATGGGCAAGAGATAATGTTCTTTCATGGCAAGAGAGAGTACACTGGTGAGAGGGTAAGAGATGGAAGGTCAGCAATGTGTGTGACAATCTTGATGTGGTGTGGGAAAATGAAAACCCAAATTAATATTTTTAAAAAATTGATGCTTTATTAGGGAATGCATCATCCTTGTAAAAAAATTTAAAAAGCAGTGGTCGGATTTGGTTATCATCTTACCATCTTTGAGCTGCATTTAATTTGTGGTTTTATTTCTATCTATTCTGTTTTTTTTTTTTTTGAGTTGGAGTCTCACTCTGTCGCCCCGGCTGGAGTGCAGTGGCACACTCACAGCCACCCCAGCATCAACCCGCTGGGCTCCTGAGAGCCTTCCGCCTCAGCCTTCCAAGTAGCCAGAACTATAGGTGCATGCTACCATGCCCTGCTAATTTTTGATTTATTGTAGAGATGAGGTCTCGCCAAGTTGCCTGGGCTGGTCTCAAACTCACTGGCTCAGGCAGTCCACTCGCCTCGGCCTCCCAAAGTGCTGGGATTACAGGTTGAGCCACTGAGCCTGGCCTATTTTCTATCTATTCTTAATTTGTCCTTGAAATTTTTAGCTGGGAGTCAAGAGTATTTCCAGTGTTGATGGTTACTGAGACCCAAAACAGGTTATACTAATCTTCTTTATAAAGGCATTGCACTGATTAGAATATATTGCTGCAGGGATTCAAGAAGTACTTTGGATTTGCATCCATTAAAATACTGAAAAAAATTTGTTTCAAAAAGGGAGTATTTTGGAAAGTGAGTTTGTATAACAAAAAGATTACACAACTAAATCATGGAGAAATATATCTGTTGCCGGTGGCACTTTATCCTTGAAGACACCTATAGCATCTCTTTTAAAGAGCCCAGTGATAAACTCAGAGATACACAGGCAAAGGCAGGTCTGCAGAAAGACAGTATTCAGTTGTGTGTGTTTATGGGGCACTTAGGGAACTACCTATTTTTGACAGGTGCTATAAGCCTTGCAGATAATGGGCCAGCATTAGAGTTCTTAAAGGCTTGTCACCGTGCTTACAGATGTGGTTAAATTCTGGGCTAGGGTTATCTCTTTAAGTAAATGCCAGATTTTATAAATAGTGGTGAATAAATAAGCTTCATCTTATTGGTTAGAATGTCACTGTTTCTTGGTCATCCTATAGCTGGAAGGTTAAGCGTCTCAAATCCCAAAGCAGAGGGAAATTCTTTTCTTTTACTTTTTATTTTATTTTAGAGTTGTGGGGTACATGTGAGGATTGACTACATTAGCAAATTGCATGCAGGTGAGGTTTGCACTTCTAGTGTGCCACTTTCCTTTTCTTTTTTTTGAGTTGGAGTCTCACTCTGTCGCCCAGACTGGTGCAGCCACTGCAGCCTCGACCTGCTGGGCTCCGGTGATCCTTCCGCCTTAGCCTTCCAAGTAGCTGGAACTACAGGCGTGCACTACCACACCCGGCTAATTTTTTTGATTTGTTGTAGAGATGACGTCTCAACAAGTTGCCCAGGCGGGTCTCGAACCCGCGAGCTCAGTCAGTTCACTCACCTCAGCCTCCCAAGGCGCGGGATTACAGGCTGAGCCACCAAGCCCGGCTAAGTGTGCCACTTTCAATATGTCCCTTAAGGACCATGGCCCCTTCATCTTATTTTTGCTAGCTTGGCATACCTCAGTGAGAGAAGTCTCAGAGATGTTCCTTTTGTTGTGTACCTTTGCATCTGAGCACATGACCGTATGTGATGAACCGAGAGAAAACTACTCTTTCCCTATATTCTCACACAGAACACTTCTGACACCAGACATGGGATTTTTTCTAAGCTGGGTGCCCTACGATTCAATTCACTTGTGGCACTATCTACCTGGAGTTAGTCTCAGAGCCCAAGAGTTAAGGGTTCAGATGCTAATCGCAAGGCTGGGTCTCCTCATACTTCTGACTGGCCAGAAGTTGGGGATTCCCACAATCCCATCAGGGTTTGATTATTTGCTACAAAGACTCAGAACGCAGAGAAACGCATGCTTATATTGTAAAACATATAACTCAGGAACAGCCGGGTGGAAGAATGCATTGGCAGGGGATGATGTGAGGCCGGGATGGGTGCTTGGAGATACCTTGCCCTCTGTGGATACCTAACTCTCCCAGCACCTGGATCTATACACCTGCCCAGAAGCTCATCAAAGCTCATCATTTAAGAGTTTGTATAGAATTTAATCTCCAGCCTCAACCCTCTGGTCTCTGGGTCCTTCTGACATTTAGCCCCATCCTGTGGCTGTCAGCGGCCCTATCCCAGTCACCTCATTAGCATAAATGCAGGTGTGCTCCAAAGGGCTTCTTGTAAATAACAAGACACTCTTGTCACTCTGGAAATTCAGAGCATAAGAGCTCTGCCAGAAAGCAGGGGCAAAGACCCCATTTATTTCTTACTTTACTACATTAACCAATATCAAGTTTCTGAAAACGTGTTTTTTGCGTGGTCCAAAGTGTGCCTGCTTGAGTAATTTTTATTGGTTTGTTAACAAGTATTGTTTTCCCTTTCTCTCTTTTACTAGCTCTTCCATAGTTTTAATAGAGCCATCGTCCCAAGACCAGAAGGAAGTAAGTGCTCATTTATAAAAATGACTGTTCATCTCCCCTTTTCACACCTTTGGTGCATTACTGATGGCGAGCTGTTGCTTGGGGCTTATCTCTGTACCTCTTCTAAGGCAGTCTTCTGTTACCCACGTTCTGTCTTACTTCCTGGGAAACTGCTCAGAGTTTCCTGGACTACCAGACCCTCATTGATTTCTCTCCTCTGTGAGCTTTTCCATGATTCTTTCTCTGTAATAAACTCTACAAAACACATTGATATTTATTCTTGTAGCCATGAGTGATCCCACAAGAGTTTCAGGTATGCAACCTCCGACCTCCTAAGTTGTAAGCGCCCGTGGGCAGGAGCTGGCGATCAGGTCTCTCTTCCTAGCCCTTCATGTCCTTTGTCCTTATGATCTCTAAGTATGAGCTATACAAATAATACATCACTGCATCTTGGAAAATAGCAACAACAAATAGCAACTACACCTATTCAAACAATCTAGGATAATGATCTTCACATGCTCTGTATGAGGAGGATGAAGTCCGGCCCAGCTCTGTACCCTTGCTTTTTACTGACATGAAACAGAAATGTGATTGGATCTGCTAGATTCTTTATAAAATCACTTTCGGTATATTTGGAGAAATGAAGGTTACATGCATCAAATGCCCACAGTTTGGAAACACTGTTATGTAACATAGGATTTCAAAATAATCACAATCACTTGAGCCAGTGTTTGAGTAAAAGCTCTTCTAGCATAGCACTGGAAATTGACAGGGTGCCAGGGGAGGGTGTTCCACCTTCTTAACTCTCTCCTTCCTTCCTTTCTCTCTTCTCCTTTGCTCTTTTCTTCCTCTGTCTTCTTCCTTCCCCCTTTCCTCCCTTTTTTCTTTCTGTTCCCTCATTCCCTCCTCCCCTTTTCTCTTTTTTTCCTTATTTATTATAGAGAAATTAAAACATGCCTTCTTGAGGAAAAATAGTTTTGCTCAGCAGAAAGAAATACTTGTGTTTTATAAAACTTGGTGAATAGTGGATTTTTTTTAGCTGGGAGTCTCACTCTGTTGCCCAGGCTGGAGTGCAATGGCATGATCACTATGATCACTGCTCATGGCAACCTTGAACTCCTGGGCTCAGACGATCCTTCCACCAGTGCCTGGAGTACAGGCATGCACCACCACGGCTAATTTTTTGATTTTTTTGTAGAGACAAGGTTTTGTTATGTTGCCCAGACTGGTCTTGCACTGCTGGGCTCAAGCTGTCCTCTGGCCTTGGCCTCCCAAAGTTCTGGGATTCCAAGTGTGAGACACCATGCCCGGACATAGTGGTTTTTGTTTTTTAAACAGAAAACCACTGCCCAGTTTTCTTCATTAAAATTCTCCTCAACCTTAGCATTATGGTTTATATACAAATTTTATATTCATGAATTGTTTGTGTATCCCATAGGCTACAGAAATCAAGGGTTAGTGGTACTGTTCCCTGAGTTCTAAGTACAGTAGTGAAGTGTACCATTTTTCTTGATTTAATTTTTGAAACAAAAATTATGTTTCATTAGGATACACAAATATGCCAACCTCGTCATAGACAAGCATGTATATTAGAAAAAGTATAAAAATTATATTTTCAAAATAGTCTGTTCTGTCACATGAATCATCTGTTTAAAATTTATGATGAAAATAATAAAATATTATTTTAAAAGCTTGGAGCATGGTGTAAAACATCAAAATTTTAATTCAAGCTCATTGCCCAAATATTTTTAAAAAACCTGTCTTAAAATTTTCCTCTTAGTTTTTCTTTTAAAGGTTTGCATTCTTAGACTCACAAGTAATTTAAGAGCCTTAATTCATACATATAGTTTTCTTTAAAATGAGCTACTATTGGAATTTTTGGCAAAATGTATCTTGACTGTTTCTAGGTAGCTTCCCTTAGAGATTTGTATCACTTTCTTTTTGGCAGTTTAAAATGAGTTATATTTATTAATTTAAAAATTATTTTATAGCATAATTTCTTTATAAAGTATTGGTAATAGATGTCCTGATGTTCTAGTAAGTGGTCTAAATATGTGACATTCCTGTTTATATCTTTGTATCTTTTATTTATTTGTTTACTTATTTATTGCCGCGTCAGGGTCTCACTCTGTTGCTCTGGTAGGAGTGTAGTAGCATGATCGTGGCTCTTCTCAGTCTCGATCTAAGCCCTGTGTCTCAGCCTCCCAAGGTGCTGGAACTACAGATGCATGCCACATGCCTGGTTAAGTTTTTGATTTTTTTTTTGTAGAGATAGTCTTACTGTGTTGTCTAGGCTGGTCTTAAACTCCTGGGCTCAAGCAATCTTCCCATGTTTTTCCCAAAGTGCTGGGATTATAGGTGTAAGCCACTGTGCCAGGCTCTAACCTTTAAATAGGAAATATATTGCCATTAGCGTTTTAAAAATAGAGAAATAAAAATTAGGCTGGATTTAAATAATTTTTTTAAACTTTTGTAAGGAAGAGAAGGAAAGCTTGGACGCTTTCTTAAGTAATTGTGCCCTTAATGTTTTATAACTTTATTTCTTTTAGGTGCACAGTTGGATAAGATGGGATTCACAATTCTCAGAAAATGCATCAGTGCAGTTGAAACACGAGGTAACGTGATTGAATGATTTTATTCATGAAAGGCTATAGGTATGTAAGATCTAAAAGTCATTTACGATGCTCCTTGTATTCTAAAGTGTTCTAAAATGAAATGCATTAATACAAAATGCTCATTCTAGGTAACAGAGGGTCCATTTTATTCATTTACTACGACAATGTGAGATTTTCCTTTTTATTCACATATTTTTTTCCTCGTATTAAAACATGAGGTCATTGTTGAAATGAGACTTGTTTTAGTTTGCTGTGCTATTTTGCCATGAAAAAATACCACAGACCGAGGGAGCTTAAACAATGGAAATTTATCTTCTCATAGTTCTAGAGACTGGAACTTCAAGATCAAGGTGTTAGCAGGTTTGGTTTCTTCTGAGCTCCTTTCTTGGCCTGTAGATGGCCACCTTCCTGCTGTGCTCTCACCTGGTCTTTCTCTGCACATGCATGTCCTTATCTCTTCTGTGTCTCCATATTTTCTCTTCGTAGCTGGCCCTGTGTCATATTAGATTAGGGCCATACCTTAACAACCTGATTTTAATTTAATCACTTCATTCAAGGCCCTAATTTCAGATACACTCTGTGGTAGCGGGGGTGAGGGCCTCAACATAGGAATTTTAGAAGGACATACTTCCACCTTAAGAATCCTTAGAAGAATCCAGGAGTATTCGTCACTTTTTGTTCAAGTACTGTGAAGATAATGCTCCATCCCTCCATTGTCTTATGGGATGACAGTGGGTCCCTTTTTAAAAACCAGGTTTATGAAGGTATACTTTTTGTCCAGTAAAATTCACTGATTTTAACCGTATGAATTGATGAGTTTTGTAAACACATACAGTCATGTAATTACTTGTGTTATCATGTACAGTTGTGTAACTCTTGTAGTAGTCACAGTAGATTTCTATCTCCCCCTCAATTTTTTCTGGTTCCTTCCCTGCCCATGCACTCAGTCCCCATTCCCTCCTTGTCCCTCGCTATTCACTGAACTGTTTTTATCACTCTAGTTCTTACTTCCTCCTGCTTTTTTTTTTTGAGTTGGAGTTTCACTCTGTCGCCCAGACTGGAGTGCAGTGGCTGCTCCTGGCCACCGCAGCCTCGACCTGCTGGGCTCCGGCTATCCTTCCGCCTCAGCCTTCCAAGTAGCCGGAATTACAGGCATGTGCTACCACGCCCGGCTGATTTTTTTTGATTTATTGTAGAGATGAGGTCTCACTGCCCACGCGGGTCTCGAACCCATAGGCTCAGGCAATCCACTCACCTCTGCCTCCCAAAGGCACGGGATTATAGGCTGAGCCACCGAGCCCGGCTTCCTCCTGCTTTTTAAAGCATTTTTTACCCTAAGTGTAGCCTTTTGAGTCTGGCTTTCTCTCAGTCATGCTTTTGAAATTCATCTGGTTGGGTGGATGCCTAGGTCGTTTCTTTTTACTGCCCAGTGGTATTCCATTGTGTGGGTATACCATAGCTTGTGTATCGATTCACCTGTTGGTAAATATTTGGGTTGTTTCAGTTCAAATTTAAGAAAAGCGAGTCCCTCCACTGTTGAAAAGCCCAAAGGATTTTATTTTATTTTAATTTTTGTGGTCCCTAAGCAAAAATGGGGACTTTCTACTTTGTAGCCATTCTGGTAGATGTTGAAGAAACCAAATACTGAAGTATGGATACATTGAATGCTTACTCTTGTGTACTCTAGTTTGCTCCAAGTTCATTCTTGGGTATCATATATTCTGATATTAGATATTCCAAGTTCATTCTTGTATGCTGTATATTCCAGTTCTACTCTGGATTACTTAGTGGGAGGAAGCTCTGCATTCACATTCTCTGTCATAACAAGACCTTTGTTGTAAAGCCAGTACTACCCACCTGTGAAATTAGTCTGTGAGTAACACATGTGATAGGAACTGTTTCATGATTTTGGATTTTGCCGATCAATGACAACAACCCAAGTCACAGAAAGCCATTTTTCTCACACTCTCTTACAATGGCGGTTCAGGCTGATGAGTTTTATTTCATTCATTTTTGCCTGCACTGAAGTTGAGCTGAGAAATTTGTTCATTATCACAGTGCTTCAAAAAAAAGAAACTGTGATTTTAATATCTCTCACTCAACACTCATGTTTATTTTTTTGCTAAGTTCCTTAAGTTAGAACCTTAATCTTAGTATTTGCATACTTCATAATTTTGATAATTTTTTTCCCAAAAGCATATGTTTTATACATGTTTCTACCTGAACAGATAAAGAGCTATCTAAGAAGGCTTTCTTATTGGTCTGGTTTGTCATAGAATGTTACCTATACTGAATGGTATAAATGTGTATTGGAATCTAGATGTATTGAATGTGTTTTTGCTATAAATATAAATTATTGGATTTTAAAAAATAGAATGGGCCTATACATTTTATGTTAGATTTTCCCATTTAAAACTAAAAAACAGGCCATCTTTCCTTTTAGAGACTCTCTTGTACCAGGCCTTTCGCTTGCCTTTTCTTTCCTCTCTTCTTTCTCTAATAAACTCTGTTTTGACACTCTGAAAAAAGAAAAAGAAAAAAAAAAAACTAAAAAAGCATATGTTTTTCTTTCCAAATTTCCTGTTTCCAAGATCTCCCATTATTGAAATCTTTTGCTTTCAGTGGAGTAATAGACTAAAAATAGAGCTTAAAAGAGTCAACAGTCAGATCATATTATAAAAATGATGCAGAACATCGCAGACTCTTAGACTTTTACTCGAATCTGGAAGCTTCTTCAGGGAATATTTTTTTTAATGATTTCCCCACCTATCTTAGCTTTCAGTTCTTTTTTACGTTACTTATGTTGTTGCTGCACCTTATTTATTTTATTTTTTTTAAAGTCAGGATAGAGCTAGTTTATGTTGCCATAATGAGAAACCCACAGATCTCCAGTTTAAACCACAAGACTGCCGTTTCACTCATCCACCATTGGTGGGAGAGATTTACTCCTTACTCAGATACCTGGGCTTATGCAGCAGCCAACCGAGTTCAAGTGCCTGTTTGCCTTGCCTTGCCAGAGGGAAACAGAGCTCTGGTAGGGCTTTGGAACAGCAAGTAAATGCTCTGGCCTTGAAGTGAGTTGCATTTTTTTAAAAAAATTAGGAAATATAGCTTATAGCTTATTTAAAAACTGAATGAGAGAGAGAGGAGATTCACATCCCCAAGGTAGGGGAAGGGACCAAAGCTTAAGAAAACATGGCCCAGCCATCGCTCAAAGAGCACATGGCCACACCATAGCTCAGCAAGGCAACGGTCAGTGAGTTATATTTGCTTATAACTAGTTGACCATAAATAGCCACGTAGCCCTACCGCAACCCCATAGCGTCTAGGAAGCAACACTACATGGAAAACAGGGAGAGAGCTGACAATAGCTGTAAAGAGCATTAATGACTACTGGGCATGACTTGGGTCTACAAGCCTAATGACCAGAAGCATTTAATGAGATCAAATTGAAGAAGTCTTTTTAATCACTGCTTTCAGTGTTTTAAATGACTATCATTGTCTGAAAACTACCATTTCATATGGTTTGGTCAAAGCAGTTAACCTTTTTATTTTTTGATCCCAGAGCTTAGAATATATGTATTGGAACAGAGATATGAATATATGACCCCAAAGACAACTGGGACAACATTGAATATTTAAATATGTTTTTTCATTTGCTGTGTGTATGTGTGTATATTTTTATGTATTTTGAATTGGATTCTCTGTCTGTCACCCAGACTGGAGTACAGTGGCAGGGTCACAGCTCAGTGCAGCCTCAAACTCCTGGGCTCAGGAGATCCTTCCACTTCAGCCTCCTGGGTGGTTGGGATTACAGGCACATGCCACCATACTTGACTTTTTTTTTTTTTTTTAAAGGTGAGACTTGTTATGCTTTCCAGGCTGGCTTGGAACTCCTGGGCTGAAGCAATCCTCTCACCTCTGCCTCCCAAAGTGCTGGGATTGCAGGCGTGCGCCAGAGTGCCTAGCCCTCATCTGCTTAATTTATGTGTATGATTTATGACAGGTTTCATGTTCTTCTGTTGTAATTTGTCCCATGTGTTATACCTATCAGAAAAGGTTTTATCTTTGAGCACAAAATTATTTTCTCTAAATGTTATTGTGGTCAACATTTGTTGGCTTTGCTTGGAATAAGCTGGAGATCTCCAGTGTTCAGAGTCCTTACAGGACAGTTACTCAGGAAGCTTCAATCATCATTAATTGGATGTGCAGTAGCAGAAAATGGGTGCAGTGGCCCTGTAGTAGAAACTTTAGGGATGTGAAGAAATGGGATCTATCACTAATGTAAAAAGAAATGGTTCTGATATCCACCCCTAGAAAATCCCTGCTTGGTGTGATGAGGGGTTCACCCAAGAGGTAGTTAAGGGCATAGTGTCCTGGTGGAGAGGAAGGAGCTCTTTGTTTCTCAAGCCCCAGTCTAGAAACCAAGTTCTGAAGCCAATAGAATTGCCGCTTGTCAATTAACAGACCCTTTGCAAACACCTAGATCTTGTCCTTTGCTTGTCCCCATGCCCATCTCCCAGGAATGGTGGCCGGAGGTGAGCTGAGGGAAGTCAGGACACCGATTGTGTGTTTGAATCTCTTAGCACATTCTCTGCAATTCTTTTTGAAATATCTACAATGGACACACTTCAGGTCATCAAAAATATGAGTCGATTGTTGGCTGTGTCAGCATCCAAGGTCATATCTACCTGTAACGCCGCATCCTTGTGTTCGGGTGTAGAATAGGTCTCAGGCAGGACTTTAATTGCTTTCTTTTGGAAACCATTATCCCCAGCTGGTAACTGGGCCTGATGTCATTCTTCCCAGAGATCACAGAGCAGAAAGGGCACAATAAATCTTCCCTATCATGTGCCTCCAGAATTGAGCTGATGCATTGGGGACAGCAGACATATCCACAGTTTAGGGACACAGGCTTTTCGAGATAAGATAGGCAAATTTAATTTAAAAAATGATACGATAGGCAGATGAGACATTTACTTGCTTTTCCAAATCATCCA